ATGAGTGAATGTCAGTTCTATGTGTTTTAAATATCTCGTGAAAATGGGTCAGTGTTAGTTAATACCCATTACATATAATTTAAATTTCTATTTGAAACTCGTACTATAAGTAAATGATTTATTTCATCTCGTTTTCTGTTAAGACACAAAATTATTTACTCATTGAGAATCTCCATAATCTTTACTGTTTTAAATATTAACAATTTCGCAATTTTAGGTGAAATTCACTCTAATTTATTTCACAACAAGACAGTATTTTTAGCTGTTATGGAAAGTGTTCAGGCAAAATGATTCGCCAATTGTTGTGATCAGAGACGCACTCGTTAAATCGAGAGAATGGAAAATTGCGTATTGTGTTCATTGAAAACATATAAATTAACCAGGTAATTTTGGTATTCTTATGTTGAAATATCGTTTCAATATATATATATATATATATATATATATATATATATATATATATATATATATATATATATGTAAAAAAAACATAATACCCACGAATAAATAAATGTTCTTAACACAAACAAATCTACTACCCCTGGTGGATCATTACGTAGTTTCTTTAATTTTTGTGTTAATAGTGACTTACTCATTTCTCTAAGTTATATGTTTTTAACCCAACATCTACCGTTTGGAGATAAATGAAACACATATTCACTTTGATATACACTTTTAATATATCCCACTTTTCCAACAAACAAAATATTTATTGTAAATATAGAGATAGAAGTTGTTATTCACAACAGATTCTAGATGAGACATTGGTAGTTAGAATTTCAGATTAGTTATTTTAAGAAACTATCTGTCAGTTGATTAGTTCACTCTTGATATGGCTGGCAATTTTACTGATTTGTTGATGCTACCCCATTGGTGGCCTTGCATGTAGCAGAGATGAAATTATTTTGGTATTGAGTGTAGTGTAGTGTTGCAGAGAAAAATGTAGACAGGAATTCTATAATATCACACAGAGATACACCAACTGACTGAATGAAATGCTGAATGAAGCACTGGTTGAAATTTTGAAATGCAAGAAGTGTAAAGTTTGCGGAGGAAATTGACATACACATTGTACTGATATGAGGCTAGGCTCGCAGTTCAGTCACAGGCTCTTCACATATTCTGGATTTCGTAGATCAGGAAAAAACTACAGATTTATAATTGTATTAAATCCTTGTAGCAGAAATTTTTTATCGTGTGATTGAACAGATTTAACTGTTCTCGAAATCGGGGTCTTGATAGCCGATGAGGATGAAGCGAGGCGAGTAATGAAGCGACATTGGGTTACAAGCCAACTTATCACTAAAAACTAGGATTATTTACCACCAGAGGTGAATATCCGGTATTGGGAGATATGCACATCCATTTTTGATATCTTTTGTAAAGGCGAACCTCTTCACAACCACTATGTTCTTCAAGTCTGGTTATTAAGTAAGGCACTATGTTATTGTCACAAAGTTCACCAATATCGGATGAGTGTAGGACAGGGAGAAAATTACTTTGAAAATAAAAAGTTTGTGTAATGTCTTCCTCTGGTGTGAGGGATTTTAAGTAATTACACGTTACTGTTAAGCTAATATCATATTTAGGGGTGATGCCATTATTAATATTAATAAAGGGAACATACAACTCTGGAAATAAACTAGAAAAGTCTACGCCACTGTCAAGCCTATCGTTAACTATCCGCTCATCAGTTAGACTGCAGGTGGACTTGCTAGTCAGTATATCGTATCTGAGATTGAATAATGAACTTTTCACTGAATCTCGACAGTCGGAAATAAAATTATTTTTTATCCTTGAATGAACATGGAATATTTGGAGGTAATTCAGTGGGTGGAGCTGGAAATGTTAACTGTGGAGCTAACTGTGGTACTGACTTAGGATGTGGAGCAGATTGTGAAGCAGATTGTAGAGCAGATTGTGGTGCTGAGGAGCTAACTGAGGTGCTGCATGAGAGCTAACTGAGGTGCTGTCTGAGGAGCTGTTTGAGGAGCTGTTTGAGGAGCTATCTGAAGATATGTCTGAGGAGCTAACTGAGGTGTTGCATGAGAGCTAACTGAGGTGCTGTCTGAGGAGCTTTTGAGGATCTGTCTGAGAAACTAACTGAAGATCTGTTTGAGGAGCTAACTGAGTGCTTCATGAGAGCTAACTGAGGTGCTGTCTGAGTAGCTGTTTGAGGAGCTGTTTGAGGAGCTATCTGAAGATACGTCTGAGGAGCTAACTGAGGTGCTGCGTGAGAGTTAACTGAGGTGCTGTCTGAGGAGCTGTTTGAGGATCTGCCTGAGGAACTAACTGAAGATCTGTTTGAGGAGCTAACTGAGGTGCTGCATGAGAGCTAACTGAGGTGCTGTCTGGGGAGCTGTTTGAGGATATGTCTGAGGAACTAACTGAAGATCTGTTTGAGGAGCTAACTGAGGTGCTGCATGAGAGCTAACTGAGGTGCTGTCTGAGGAGCTGTTTGAGGAGCTATCTGAATAGCTGTCTGAGGATATGGTGTTGTTTCCATAGAATCAGTCTTGTAAGTTTTACAATGTCTCATAAAATTATCACTCTTTGTAATTCGTCTCTGGCATAAATCACTCTGAAACTACTTTCTTGAATTTTTCATTCCACAGTATGTTCTTTCATGTCGTCATAAGTTATGCAGAACTGTAAATTCTTTACCGCAAAAGAAACACAGCAAAGAGATCATTTTTTCCGCACTATTGAAAGATTAGAAAGCAACTGCTAGGTGTACACATTTTATTGGTAGTTAAAGGTAAATAGCGGAAGCAATTCGATTATGTTATCCGTTTTAAACACAATATGTTTGAATTGCAGAAGGTGTTAAATGTACATTTTTTAAACATAAGAAATTTGAATTCTATAATGTATGTTTAAAGATTTTTATGTATTTAATCTCTTCCAAATTACCAAAGGTTTGTTTAATCTTTATCCCGCACACAAATATTTATGTACAAACACATTTACATTTGAATGTTAAAATCACGCAAAGTTAAGGAAATAACGCATTGTCAGAACATGGGAATATTACTATTCATGCATTTTATAATCAGTAAATTAGAAAATTGTTTCAAAACATTTATTTCGATACATTTGCTTAGGAATACTTTTTCTCATCTCTGTGTGTTTACAAAAACATTTTTTGCATCATGCTTTTCCATTCTCTCCTTGGCATTATTTATAGTATTTTCATATGTTTGATTGTTATCAGTTTTCGTGTATTCTGGTGCATGTTTTATTATACATACTGGCATATCAGGAAAAGTTTCATATAAGTGTGAATACACTTCTTCAATGCTCGCTGGTAGACTTGTCTTTGGACACATATGGTATGCACGACATTTCTTCAGGTCAGGACTAAGACATTAATTCATTACATTGTTCAGCCTCTATTGGACATTGGATAATTTATAAATGAAAAAGCCCATCGCATATCCCTCCAAAATGACACTTTATTCCGTTAAACAAACAAGAGTAATTCACACTTGAGTTTCCGGGGGTGACAGAGATTCATATACCAGCTGTGTGGAAGAAAGACATGTTTACCATAGGAACATCACAAAGATACTAAAACTATTTATTTTCTGAGACAAACTCTAAATGATTTACTCCAGAATGCTAGTAACTTGCTAATATTCAATTTACATTTGGTTTTCTGTATGCAAGAACAACTAAAATTTTCTTGTCTTGTTCATCCAGCTTTACAAAGTAGTTGATATTATACAGGCAAGTACTTTTTATATTAAATTTCACTCATCCTGAATAATGGCATATGACTCGAATAATATCCACAGGTGATTTGGGAGGATAATCACAATAGTCAGTTTCACCCCAAAAGGACATCATTGCCTAAATTATCATTAGTTTTGAGTTTTCCTCTGCAGAGAAAAATGTCGTATTAGATCCATATGTTGTACACATCTGTTTTAATGAGGGGCAATTGTATTCTTTTTTAAATATCTATTACTTTTCCGTTATACGCACTCTCGAAAATGCATTTTTGCTCAAATACAACTACATATATTTCACAATTATTTAGGTAATGTTTGTAAACAAACTTCAATATTCTCATACTCTATACATCACTTCCCCAGGTTAAACCATGGTGATGTTCAGAAATCCAAATATTTGTTTTCTTGTATTTGGGAGTTAGACATTTCAAGTCAAACAATGGTTTGAAGCTGAATACAGTTGTATGTTCTTCCATGTCTGCAATAGCAAATTCTTTAATGATAAATTTTTTCTCTGCAGATTGAAATCCTTGCACAATGCAGAACACCTCGTCATAGCTGTGGCTCAATTCATTATTTTCACTAGCTTATCTCGTACAATGCAACTCACTAATCCTTTGTGTATTTTCAGATCATAATATTATGCATTTGCTGGAATTGGTGTATTTGCAATCACGCTGATTGTAATTGTGTCATCCTGTTTGCTAACATCAAACACAAATAATGATCCTTTACTTTTAAATGTTTAGGGTTCTAGGATTGGTGAACAGTTTTTGTTATAATATGTTTCTTGAAACTTGGTATACATATAATAGGAAATAAGGAATTCACCATTAGTAAATTTCATATTTAAATCGACATAGGGGCAAGCTAGACTGTTTTGATACAGTTTAATATTTCTCCTATAATAATTATCGAAAACTACTCCATCAACCTGTTAACACCCATGTTCTAAACAGTTTCCTCTTCTACGTGCAGAGCTGTGCAGTTACAAAAAAACAATGTAACACTGCCTTAACCGTTCAAACTTTTCCACAAATTCACCGAAAAGAAAAGCGATGTCCGGAAATTTCTAGTCTGCTCACATTAAATATTTTTTCACCTGTCCTCAAGGTTTTTATTTCTTCCTTCCCACCCGTGGGATCCTTGCTGATGTATTAATTTTACCAAGGACAACGTAGGTGACTTTAAGAGTCACGTCATCCCTTGATGAACAAAATTGATTTAATACTACCCCATACTTAAAATTTTGGAAAACAGATGGCGTGTCTCCGCCCAGATTTGAACCGAACACCCCCCCCCCCCTTTTCCACGTGTTAGATGGATGTGATAACCACTACACCATCGAAACCTAGAGTAGTACGCCTTTTTAGGATTGGCTAATAAATGTATTTGTGTTACGAGTGAAGGCAAAAGGGTTCTTTTCTTTGGTTCTGTTACTATAACATTGGTAAGAACAAGAATTGCAAGTAATGACTCAATAATATTACCAATAGAAATGTCTAGAAACCTTTTCTATCCTATCTTAGTCGTACATTGACATACACTTGCTATCGCGTAGATACATATGTATACTTGTATGTAATATGATCAGAGTAAAATTCTATAATAACCATTTGAACAGTTTTGTGTGGTAATTATTTACTCAGTTTTAGTTTTCCGAATTATATCATCTTAAAATTTGGTAGCCTTCTTATATATGCAAGTGAGGATGATTATTTCGATTCGAACACAATTTAGCTATGTATAGCTAATAGGTAGGACATCTAGTGTGACGAAAAAATTATGGTGCTGTAACCAGTGTAATAAAAAATCAACAAATTCTTCCCAGATTTTTTTTTTCCAATTCATTCCAAGCCTTGCAAATAATTTCACCCCATATTAAACTTAATCTATTTAATTGTTTACACACGTTTTAGTTATACAGTGATAATTACCGTTGTAAACCTATCAGAAACATTAAAATTTGAAGGTTGTTATAGGATATTCATGGAAAACGAGCTCTTTTGAAAACCTTGCTTGATATCTACTTGCATGTACGCTGTGTATATTCCGTTTTATGTAAGAGGAACATTGTCATGGTTTTCTATCTATGGCGCTATCTCGTTGCATGGCGCCGGCGTCGTAGTCTCGGCGTCTTATTCGCCTCATCAATTTTACACTCAAAATAATTATCTACGACTTAGCCTACAGCCTGTTCTTAAATATTGCTGCGGCGACCAACAAAAACTTAACTTCTGGAAGCATAATTACTACATTATATTTATGATGGCATAAAATTCCAACGAAAATTTTGACGCCTTATATGTTCAATGTCTTTACCAGAAGCCCCTTACTCCGGCCCCCGACATACTAACATCCAATCACAGCTCGCTTCCGGCTTTACCTTCACTAAATAAAATTACGGCCAAAAATATTATGTCTTTGAATACCAAAATAAATAATAATAATAATAATAATAATAATTTAGCTTTAAAAATTATGAAACAATTACTGATAATAAAATCAAACCTATTAATACAATAATAAAAATATTGATATAACTATATGTAGCTCTCAGAACAACGTCTGAAAATTATCATAGAGTAGTGAACAGGAGGTTCACATATATCGAAAAATTAAGGAAATGAAATGTTAACATACAATATAATAAACACGTGAAAATAATTATTTTAACATTCAAATAATATGTGAAATCAATTAAATATTACTGTCCAAAACATATGTGTAGCTCAAATGCATATAATGAATATAACCGTATGGTTCCATGTCCAGTCGATCTGAGACAGATTATACCTTTATTCTCTCGGAGAATGATGGCCAGAAAGTGAAAAACGCAGTTTGGTCTGTAAGGAAACTACCTTGTAATACGATAGTTGTAAATAAAAATTAAATATCACTGCTTAATAAAATTAGTCACATTTACTTGGATAGTTTAAATAAACACGACTTTAATATCGAGCGAGCTTATATTATCGAGCTACAATACTTGAAAAGTATATCTGATATATATTTACATATATATTTATAATGTAACATAGTGTTAAGCGCATAAGTCACCGGCAAACAAATAAAATATACTACGCTCTTTATTCTATAACCACTCATTATTTTTACAAAAGAAACATCGTTGTAAAACAGATGCACCCTTAAAACGAGAAAGTCAAGCTTGTTTCCGCCCGGGATTGAACCGGGGACCTTCCGCGTGTTAGGCGGATGTGATAACCACTACACCACGGAAACGCTGTATCTTACTATTTGTGCAGCTTTGTGTTTACATTCGTTACTTTACTTATAAATCTTAGTAATATCTATATGCATGCCACAAGGTAACAATAACTAGACAACTCCTGTGACAGGGTGTACTTGATTGCAAGGTCTCAAGTACTACCACCTACCTACTTTCTTACCCAGAAACGTTTCCCGTACGCTAGTAATATTTCCTTATACATGCTCAGCTGGAATTCGACCTACAATCTTCGCGAGGCGAATCTTTATGCAATATCAAATGGTAAATATACAAAACACCTTCTACCTCAACTGAATGTTGAGTGAGGTGTAAACTCGTCAAAATATTGATTTTTAAAATTTAAAACTAAGCGAAATTAAATTACAACATCGGTATCTTCAGCTAAAAAAATCTCTCATTAATATCTCCCCACTCAATAAAAAAAAAAGCGGTGGACATCTTATCATCGCAAGCAACGTTAATACCATTGGAGATTATGATAGAATGATGCTGGTTTATTGAGCAGTGCTGAAAAATTATCAAAAATGATGCTAGTAGTAGGAGCGGGCCGTTCTAGATCAAAGGAACCCACCTATTTTGATTGATCTAATTAAATTGATATCATAATATTAATTAGATTGATTGGAAGGGTTAATTCAAATTATTGAAATTGGATTAAACCTCTCGTATATAACTTACACGTCCATCTGCCTGTGAGATTGGTGAGGAACTTTAGAAATGGAATCCACGCTTTAAAAGAAATTAATTGATTAATACGCATAAAAAAGAAAACATTTCATTTACGTCCATTCGCTCGTGAGCTTAGGGAAGCGCCCTTTGATTATAGAATGAGTTGATTAACTCAAAATTTTCAACAAAACTAATGTCTCCAAATAAATTAAATGGAAACAAGTTCAAGAAAATGACTAAACACATAATTAAATTGCACCACACCCAAAACACGTCTGTCTGGCTCGGAGTTTGTTGAAGGAATGGCATCAGTGTATGATGTACGCCAACTTATATTTGCGGAGCTTGGGGGCGAATTGAGATTACTGCAAAAATCTGAATACTATTAACACACTACTCATGCACATCCTGACTTGTATTTAGAAATAATGTATTCCTACCATGCATGTGTGCAATATAATTAGCGAAATGCATAGTCAATGATTTAGCACTTCCAAGTTAATATGGACAAATAAAGATGTCCAAACTTGTATTTTGATTTTAAAAAGACACAATCGAAATACACATAATGTAATTGTACAAGGAGCTCTCCCAAAACACATCCGTCCATCTCGAAGGTCAGTCAATGAATGTCTGTATCGCATGATGTGCGCCAGCTTAAAGCTGCTACATATACGTGGAGCGGATGAGTTGAAATTTGCGGCTGACAGAACATATTTCCCTCCAAGCTTCTTTTAACGACTTGATTACACTATTCGCCCTAAAGAACGTGAATGTATAAAAGTGAATTATTTAAAAACAACGTACGTACTACAAAATTTTCCGTCAAATCTGTGAAATTCAAGGCACTTGGTACCAACAATGCGAGTTGAAAATGCCACGAAGTTTCGTCGACCGAACACAGAAAAGGGGTTTCCATGATAAATGCACTATCACTAAAAAAATATATATTTTTCACTATAAATTTAAATCTGAACACCAGAGCATATAATATTGCTTAACGAGAATCGCGGGTATCACACTCCGAAACCTGGTGAAGTCCAGTGTCGCATCTATGCAGCATAAGGGTTTGCGAAGAACTTAGATGGCGGAAACCAGCTATAAACCTCCACGTCACACCTGCCCAAGGTCTAAACACCCTCTCTCCTTACTTATACTGGAGAAGAACGCTTTTTTTTTAGAGGGATGCTCTGTCCAAAGTCAAACACACCACCTTCATTGTAGATCCAAGACCATTCACCCCTTCCCTTCCAACACTCTCAGCAAGTAACGCTTCTTTTGTTCAACAACAACTACAGCGACACTTTTACTGCCACATACCCATAAGACACCAAGTTGGACTCTCCTAAAGTGGTTTCCTATTTTCAAAACTAAGCTTTACCCATGAATTGCGGACTCTCCCAAAAAATCTACCCTAACTGGTTCTGTGAGAGGAATAGTAATTTTCCCATCCAACCCTTCCCCTTACACGCTATACCTAGACCTGGTCAACAGCCTCAAACCTTTGTGCACAAGAGACGTTGAAAAAATACTCGTTTTACACTCTCAAATGTTTGAGCGTTTGCTGCAAACGAATATATTTTAAACCACTCTCTCTATTTATTTATTGAACATAATTTATGAGAAAATGTAAAATACTACCAAATCCCGATCTCAACGAACGATTCGAATGAATAATTCATATAAATTTGGCACAAAATATATAAATGTACAAATACTAACCAAATGAATTAAATGAACAGTTCACACACTCTGTCGAAGAAAAACGATGAAATCAATACAAAATTACTTACCACAAACACAATTAATCAATCCAAAAAAAAAAAAAATCAGTTGAAAAATTATCACAGAGAAAGTCGAAAAAAATTTGTTGCGTACACATGTAGACTACTTCGGAAATCCATGTTTACGAATCCTATGCGAATAACACATGGATTATATAAAAAATAATAGACATCTGCAAACTTCAAAATAATGGAAAATATTTCTACACTATAAACTATAGCAATAAAAGTTAAGAGATTCCTGTGCTTAACACTAGGAGAGAAACTGAATTCAATTGTTAATCAACGACAATTAAAAAAGAAATAAATTTATTAACATATGTAGAACTACTCTAACTCCTATTGTATTTTATGTTACCAAGGTTAAATACTCGAATAATGGAAATATTCCGAAAAATATTGCTTTGATGACTATAAGCGAGTTGTGAACCCCGATCAGATAGATTATGATATAGCCTAACAAGCATTGCGGATTGGGGAGCAGCAAGGCAAGCATGGGGGTCGGTGCGAATGAATAAACATGATGGGTTACCTCAGTAGACAAGCGCGATTTTATCCGTATTTTTTCTATCCTGCCGATGAGGGACGACTGTGCGCTTTGTCAAGGGAATGCAAGACCCTGGCGAGATGTCTTCATCAACCACCCTG